TTGAAACGTATGCAACTTCGGGTTGATGTTCTGTATCCTAACGAAGATGTTCCACTTGGTAAGGTTCTAGCAAATATATCTTCCCGTGGTTGCCTTTATGCAATTTTGGTGACAAATCAGCATGAAGAACATAATAGCATTACTGTTAATATACTGTATGGACAACCCGCTGAACACCGCAACATGCCGGTGGATGATGCATTGAAACTAATTGGGAAAGATTTTCAAAACAAAATGGCTGTCGAGTCATCGAAACGATTAAACTCAAGTCACCTTCCTCAGCCTGTACCTATTATACCTGCTACTAATGTAATCGCTCCACCACTGAAAGATAGACATCCAGAATCTATACAAATTTTGTTAAATTTGCTCGCAGATAATTTGCCACTTACTGGTCTGCAATATGAACGTATTATAAAATATCTAAATGAAAGACGAACCTTACAATTGAAAGCTGAACTAGGCGAGACCGTGGAATCAATTCCTGATCCAGAAATTGAACTCCAAAAAAAGATTTTAGATATATTAAATAAACCATCGGTTGCCGAGACGCACTATGAACTTCTCTATCCTACATTACAATCTATAAAAGACGATTTCCGTGTAATGGAATTACTAAAGGATGAAAGAGTACAAAAGGCACTTGATTCCTTAATGGATTCTAGTTTAGTTGGTACTATAGAAACGCACATGAAGTTTTAGGTTAATAAGATGATAATAAAGTAGAACTGTATAACTATAATTTGTAATTAATAAAAAGCAACTGACACATGCAATTACAGTATTAGCGCAAATACGTTAATTTTTATTTCAATATTCTAGGGCCATGATCTCTTTGCTATATGTCCAGCATATTTTTCACGATATTTAATTCCCGTAACTAAAGTTGAACTTTTTGGAAAAGCAGATTTGCCTCCAAATTTGGTATCAGTATCCGGATGAAAGCGGAGATACTCATATTGTATATGTAGATTCTCTGGAAGTTCCATATTCTTGAATGCTTCATACGGCACAGTAGTGTTCACTGACCTCTGATAAAAATCGACCACATCACCTTATATTTAGAAAAAATGATAAATAAAAATAACGATTTTGTAACAATATTATTTAACCTACCAATAGTTTGTACTTCATGTACTTGTGAATTGGGTACTCCGTGATTAAAACTTGCAAAGCATGCCTCTAAAAACTTGAATTTCTCCTCTAGGTTATTTAATTTATACTCATTCTTGTTAGATATTTGAAGAGTTGAACATATCGAATGAACTTTTTCCACAGCATCTGCTGGTGCATCATACGGTTTATGTGATCTCAAAAAACTGTAATTGTATTTTATAATCTTATAAAACTTTATTGAATGTTAAAAAGCGAATTATGTTACCCTTTATTTGACAGAGATTTGCCGACATCTTCTACAGCTTTGTTAATAATTTTAGGCCGTTTTAAATGCTTTTTTGAGTAGGACCTTGCGATCAATGATATTACCTGAAAGTAAATAGGATTAGAAGCAAATATTTTCAGATAATTATTGCTATGTACATTATTTTTATACATGATTTCAAGATTTTTACGTAAACAGACATGCAGACACAGGTCAAAACAGCAGGGCTGGTATTGTTGCCAACACCTTAAGAATTTTCTGTTAACCCATTACGTACCAGGCAATTTCAGACTTGAAATCTTACGGTCAAATTTCCATAGTAAAATAAAACAAGTTTAAGTAAATGAGAAAAGTGTAATAGTTTTTTGAAATATTTATTTATTTATTTTTTTATAAAAAAAAATATAAAATATTCTTTGAATATTAAAAAATATTCAAAGCTAATTGCGTGGTGGTACGAAATGGGTTAATGAATTTACGTATACAATAAAAACTCAATGTTATTATATCAACGGTTTTATTTTCTTTTTTCATTTCCTGTAACATATGGAATATTAATATAATAAGAATATTTAGACATGCCTGATAACTTAGTATGTGATAGAATGATAAACATCTAGTATCATGTTTCCACTACACCTAAATCAGTTTATCTTAATGAAATGAAGATTTGGTCGTTTCCATTAGCATAAGTTGATTTATGCATGTCAAGGGGCTTTTATGTATTAGAATGTTTTGTGAAATTTGCAGGATTGTTCACATCTCAATTGTTA